AGGCACCAGAGCAGAGATCCCCCGGCAGCCCATGGTGCAGCCCATGGTGAGGCAGCTGTGCCCCTGCAGCCATGGAGGTGCATGATGGAGCAGGTACTGACCTGCAGCCTGTGGAGGACCCCACGCTGAAGCAGGTGGACGCCTGAAGGAGGGTGGGACCCCGTGGGAAGCTCATGCTGGAGCAGGCTCCTGGCAGGACCTGTGGCCCTGTGCAGAGAGGAGCCCAGGCTGGAGCAGGTTTGCTGGCAGCACTTGTGACGCCGTGGGGGACCCACGCTGGAGCAGTCTGTGCCTGAAGGACTGCACCCTATGGAAGGGACCCAGGCTGGAGCAGTTCATGAAGAACTGCAGCCCATGGGAAGGACTCACATTGGAAAAGTTCATGGAGGACTGTCTCCTGTAGGAACGACCCCACAGTGGAGCAGGGGCAGAGTGTGAAGAGTCCTCCCCCTGAGGTGGAAGGAGTGACAATATGTGATGGATTGACCACAACCCCCATTCCCCATCCGCCTGTGCCACTCATGGGGAGGAAGTAGAGAAATCGGGAGTGAAGTTGAGCCCAGAAAGGTGTTTTAAGATTTAGTTTTTATTTCTCATTACCCTACTCTGATTTGATTGGTAATAAATTAAACCAATTTCCCCAAGTCAAGTCTGTTTTGCCCATGACAGTAACTGGTGAGTGATCTCCCTGTCCTTATCATGACCCATGAACCTTCCACTATATTTTCTCTCCCCTGTACAGCCAAGGAGGGGATTGATAGAGCGGCTTTGCTGGACACCTGGCATTCAGCCAGGGTCAACCCACCACAATAGGATAGGCAGTATTTTTTTAATATTTGCAGTTTCGTAAAAGTTGATGGTTTTCTCATAGCATTTGTTGCACAAAAAAAGGTGTGTATAAATGAGAACAGGTCATTGTCTGCTAGAAGAAAGTGAAGCCTATTTGCCATTGATACATAGTAGAAAGTACCAGATTTGCACACACTGTTATACAAGTGTTCAGGGAGCCATTGCATTCTTCTACATTCAAAGCTGGTGTTTGATTTCTGGATATGCTTCTACTTCCCCTGAACTGGGCACCTCCCAACTGCAATGGAAGGAAGGGATTTGATATGCTTACTTATTACAGGCTGCATTTCCATACAGGTATGTTTGGATGGGCCACTGCAACTCTTTTTTGCAGTCACCCCGACCACTTCTCTTTCTTTTACATGTTCTGTGGTAGAGGCCACCCAATTCTGTTTGGTATCTTGTGAAGTCCTTGTGGCAATTACAGCAGTTGTGTGTACGATGATGCATCGAACATTGGTATTACATGAACATTTATTTGGAATGGGGGCTACCAGGCGAGTTTCTGTAATTTAAAATATTTTAGCTGGAATAGAGGAGGCGTCCTGAGGCATGGCCATGTGCCAGGTCTCAGTATTATTGAGAGTACAGCCTGACAAGATGTAGGAACTTCTGGCACATGGAATGGTGAGTGTCACAGAAAAATAATTGTCTTAAAAAATGCCAATATTTTAATGGAGACAACGGTACTATGCATGGAATATGTGAATACACACTGCCACTGCCAAAAAAATGTATAAAAAATTTTGCCTCTAGGTTTATCCTACGTACTGCTTTCCCACTGGGAATCTTGATAATGGGAATGTACAAAGTTATCATTAATAACAGTGGATTTCATGAATATAATTGCTGTCAGTACATGCATAGGGTATAGATGAGTTACACGGTATATCTCTATCATTGATCACATATATGGGAACTATTAAAATATATTAAAAAATTTAAATTGTTAATCACATTCCAAATACTGTGAATATAATGAATATAAATATTATGTGCTAGGGAGAAAGAGTTGTTTAAAAAACACCTTTATTTCTGATCAAAATAACAGAAAAAATATCACTTAGCTTGTCACCTTTAACTTTTAATCAAGTCTTATAAGTCTGAGCAAATTAACTGCAAACTGATAAGACTTTAGTACAACATGTGTGCAATTAAGGAACAACAAAAGAGGGTTTATTAGACTCAGCATGTTGTTTGGAAGTTTTAATTGCCTTTGGAAGCTAGGGGAAACTTCATTCTGAATGTTTTACTTATCTTCCAGGAACCATAATTATGTCAGAAGAATTGCAAGATGCTTTAGATAGTATGTATGATGCAAGAATTCCAAAACTATGGTTTAGGATTTCCTGGGAATCGTCTACTTTAGGATTTTGGTTTACTGAGCTTCTTGAAAGAAACCAGCAGTTCAGCAGTTGGCTGCAGGATGGCCGACCAAATCAGTTCTGGATGACAGGATTCTTTAATCCGCAGGTAAGACTGCCAGATATTGATCTTTCTAACTCCTATGTAACAGTTAAATTAGACCTTAAGAGAACTTCAAGTTGACTCAATCATGACTATAAGAAATGTAATCTAAATTCAATTTTTTAGCATATATGTACAATAAATCAAGTTCAACATCTACTGAAGAAATTTTTGCTATACCAAAATAAAGTTACTGAAATAATGGACTGCACCTTCTGGTTGCTTTAATTATAGTGTAGAAATTGGTTAAATACATCTTCTCACAATGCGATGTTATCCTCCTTTTTTCCCCTCCTCTGTTAGAGTAATCTGTTTTTCATTCATTGTATAAAAATCCTTTTGAATACAAAACAAGGTAGGGTTCAAAACTTTGACACAGGAAGAAGAAATTTGAACTTGGCTCTCAATCCTTGCAAATCAGTTCCTTGAAATGGAAGTTTTGTTATTTATGCCACCCCAGAATTGTGCCAGACTTGGTCTGCAGAGAACATATAAAAAATACAGCCTCTTGCCTGCACCATCTAAAATAAAAACCTGGCACAAAATGAAACACAAAAAAGGGAACAGCTGAGAACAGAGTTAAAAGAAGTATACATACCTAGATGATGTGTAGTTTCTTTGCACAGCTATCCACATTCAGTAAAGCTTTTTATGATTAACATGTTTGTGGGAAGTAGGAGCTGTGGAAGTGAGTCATTGTGAGAGTATCCTGCCAACAGGTTTCTGTGAAGCCTTAGCAAAAAGCTATTTTAAAGATCTATTTTAATCTCGGTACTTGTTAGCAATGCAAAAGCTAGCTGATACAGCTGCCTAGAATAGAGAAAGCAACAGTGGCAAATATTCTCTAGGTCTACTGCTGGGAAATATCCATCTATCATCTATCCTGTCTGTGCCAGCTATCTGATGATACCACTTTGTAGCATGGAAGTGTGCTCTTAGAATCCCTGAGCAAAGGGTTCCCAAGCAAAAGTATGAGGAAGAGGAGTTTTAATAAAATTATTATGCTTCTATACTTGGTTTGTTAGCAACATGTTGATAGTGGCACTCTGAAATATTCTGAAACTTCTGCAATGATCAGTCTAGATGCAACCCTTAATAGGCTTTTGGTTTTGCTGGTGTTTGCTTTTGCACTACAGATGAGCAAGAGCTGATACTGATTTTGTAGTGGCCATTTTAGCTGGCTTTTTTGTGCTTTGAGGTTGTGTCAGTTCTGAAATTTTACCAGGCTCAATTGGGCATCCTACTTTTTTTTTGTTTGTTTTTTTTTTTTTGATGCATACATCTGGATTTCTCAAAAAAGCTGCCAAATAATCAAAGTAAAATGTCCCCAAAAAAGCTGTGATTTAATAGACCATAGTAAATGAGAAAGCCTCCAGAAATAAAAAAAATAAACGCTTCATAACACGTAGTTATGAAAGTCCCTAAATATATGGTGTGCAGAGAAAAAAAAAAATCTGAGCATGAGATGTGCTTACCTGATTTAAAACTTTATTTGTGCTGACAATCACAAGCTTAAGAATCAGATGGTTATTTTTACAGTTTCCATTTTGTGTACCCAGGCCATGGGAGTGGCTCAGAGAAAATACTTGTTTTCTATTTAGTTATGTATTGTTTTGTTAATAGTCATATCGCTCGGTTTAAAAATCAGTATTTCATATGTTTAAAAAATTTATTTTCATCTTCTCAGGCAAGTTGAGGTGATAAAGTATTAGTGCTACACTTCAAATGGGTTGTTTGTAATACCTGAAAAAATGTCAGAAAAATTCTTTCATTTGTGAGATGAAAGGCAGCTCCTAAGTAGTTTGTAATTTGCCTACGTGCATAGATCTCACTGTTTGCTTTATAGTCAATGGATAAACACCACGGATAACACAAGACAATAAAGCAGATTTATAGCACTGGGAGAATGAGGCATTCTGGCAATAAAAAATAATATTGGACTTGACTGCCTTCTCTTGGACTGTTTATACACTAGGATAAATTCAATAATTTCACAGAAGTTAATCTTTATTTATAGTGATTCAAATGAGAGCAGGCTCAGGCTTCTATGTAAAAGAAATCTGATTCACTGTGTGTGTCTGCATTGGGCCAAGATAACAGGGGTGAACAAAACAAGAAGTGCCCTGAATTTTCTTCCCTCCTGGAAGTTAATCTGATGTCACTGTATTTTTCCTCAAAAAACTTGACACTGCATATCTCACTTCTACCTCCCTATTTCCATATTGTGGCTGACACTGTTTTATTGTTTCCTTGTTTGCATCCCTGTATCCAGTTGCTGTCACTTTTCCTATATGTGGATTGTAAACCCTGTGAGGCATAACTGTCTTTCTGGTTGTATAGTACTTGGAATAATGAACCCTCAGCCTATTTCTAAGACCCTTAAATGCCAAATCAATGTGAATAAGAAGTACAATGTCTCCATTCCTCAGTGCCCACTAACCACCCCTGCCATAATTTGCTTGCTGTAGAAATTGCAAAATAAGTGACAAACAAGGAACCTCCTAAGCAAGGCAAAGGAGGCAATGTGGTTGTGAAAGCAATAGACTTAACTGATTTCCATATTTCTTGTCATAGCTTCTGTAGATGCCTGCTTCTCCCTCACTAGAAGGTTCAGAGTTAGTTTGCATGGGTTGTTAGAAGCCAAAGGGACAAAGCTTTAGCAGCCTTCAGTGACCAGGCCAGGAAGAAATTCAGGAAAAGGCAGGTGAAGAAAGAAGACATTTTTCCCGTTTCTCAAAATGTTCCCCCCCCCACCCCCCCTTTTTTTTAAAAAAACCCCAAAAAACCAAAATGCACAAACAAACAAAAAAAATCAGGGCAATGATTACCAGAAATCAAAACAAATGTCATGCAAGTGGGCCATTATGTCCCTGACAGAGGGTTTGGGAGGAGCCAAGCCCTCAGCCATACAGTGGCACCTCAAGCCACTTGTTTCTTTCTTGCTGTTTATTGTGCCATTCACCTGCTCTGGGATACCCAGTTGAACCTCCAGCTCACAGTCTTTAGACACTGTCTAGGATTCATTCAAATGAGCAGATAAGTGTTACAAAAAAAGTCCCACTGCAGCCAGCATATAGGTCCTTCCATCTCTGTAAGAACAGTCTGCAGTCTAAATCTTATCCCTGAAGACAACTCACAGCTTCGAGCTTAATTTTATTCTAGTGTTTCCACAGTGCCTTTGAACTTATTCCCTTAATACAGTCATTTCTCTGTCCTGTCCTCTTCAGGCTCTTCTTTCTTTAATATTTCAGTTTATTTGGGATCCAGTAGCCCCCTGGGGCCTTTTGGCAGTGAACGCTTCACGTATTTTGAACTATTGGTACTAGCATGTTTCTACAAATTAAAATTCCCCAAATTAACTACAAGGATTTTGCTTTCATTTAATGGCATTTCTGATAGAAGAACTTGGCCTTTAATCCTGTCTCCCTTAGCTATATGCTAGGGTTCTCAACTACTTCAAACACAATTACAATTATCTGGTCTATCACAAAACCTCTTTAAAACACTTGTCCTGAGGTCTCTGGAATGATATTAATGAGAAGCAACCAATGTCAGTTAACTGAAACATCTGAGTTCATTAATGTCATCTCATGTTCTCATAACTCGAAGGGTATTGCGTAGCTACAAAGTCCTTAGCATGTGCAAAAGCACTCCAGTCCCAGCAGCCAGACATTGGCCCCTGCATTCAGTAGACCAACGTGCTCATGTTTCTGCATCTGACTTCTTTCCATTCATTTGTCCCTGACAGCAGCTCAACAGAGCATCCTGCACTGTGAATACTGAAGAAAAAGAAAAAGCTTGATTTTTTTCCTGGCTGTGCTGTTGGCTCTCTAATACCCACCTTTGTGTTTTCCCCGTGCAGCTCTGTATTCTCCCATCTCTGTCTCCAGATACCTTCTTTCTCTGCTCTGAAATCTGTCCTGAAACTTCTTCCTTCCAAGCTGTCCTTCTCAGTAAGTCCCTCTTGCTCTTGCATCTTCAATTTTTGTGTTTTATTCATTCATCTCATGGCTACGCAAATGGATTTCCATAGGGTAAAATAAGGTGTCCATCCACAGCTTGTCCACTGGAAGTGCGAAGCAGTCTGTACTCGCCTGTCTCTTAGGACTGAGGCACTTCCATGTACGGCAGTGTACGTGCACACAGACAGTTACATGAGAGAAGCTAACCAGCATCTTTAGCCTGGCTTGTCTTGTGATAGCTTGTAAGCATATCATGAGATTGTAGCTCTTCAGAACAGAGAATCATTTTCATTCTGTGCTGCTGAAGTGCTGTGAGTTTATGTTGCTGTTGTCTACAATAGTATGTTATTGTTTTATATTAAGTATATGCATATTAATATATTAATATATTTGCACTGAGCCAAGCGACAGAGGCATTTCACTATTTAATTGCATGATTCCAGTTTGTACTTCCTTTGTATTCTGTAAAATACTTCGTGATTTGTTGACTGTAAAGCAATTTTATAATGTCAGTATTAGAATAGGTGAGTAATATAGCACATGAAATAGCTGTGTTATTTGTGGCTTAGCTATTACCTGTATTTGGAAACTCACAAAACACATTAATCTGGGAACCTTGTAAACATTCTCCCTCTGGCTAGTTGTAAAGTAGGCATGTGAGGTGAGATCAGCTATACATGCAGCTTCCAGTATGTTATATAAGCCAATTTGGTGGCTTCTTAGCACCAACACAAGCACACCAAGTATGTAAGAATGCATTGTACCGGGAAAATATAGGAAAAAAAATGGATTTACACAACTTAATTTAGTTTTGTATGCAGATAAAATTCTGTTGGGATGAAGTTTTATACTGCTGATGTCACTATTATATAGGAAAAAAAAAGTTTGAAATGGGTAAGTTCAAGTATCTTAAAACAGTCTATGCTGTATTCAATCTCCTTAGGGATTCCTAACTGCTATGAAGCAAGAGACAACTCGCATGAATTTAGCAAAAGGCTGGGCACTCGACAGCGTTGTTTTACACAATGAAGTGACCAAGATGATGAAAGAAGATGTTACTGGCCCTCCTCCTGCTGACATTGGTGGGGTTTACATATATGGCCTTTTCCTCGAAGGGGCAGGCTGGGACCGCAGAAACTGTAGGCTGATTGAGTCGGCACCAAAGGTAAGGGTCAAGTGAACATGACAGACTGGCATAATGTAGTGTGCTCAGGGAACACCAGGAAGTATTTTGAGTGCCTGCAGCAGTGGTTTCACAGCAGATTTTAAGCAGGTAAAACACAAGCAGGGCTGGGAAGAGCACAGAGTGTTTACCCACCAGAACCGAACAAAAAGACTTCAGTCAGAAAATGAATTTAGGATGTACTGCACTAGAGCAGACCAGATGCCAGGTTCCTTGGCTTCAGGGGGGCTATAAGCACAGCTTTGTTTGAATAAAATAGTGCAAACCATAATCAGATTTCTTTTGACTGACCAAGTGAGACCCTTTCATAACTTCCAAAGCCCAGGACTGGGTTTGATGACAGTGGCAATGGAGGTCAGTGTTTGGATGACTAGAAATCCCTGGTGTTTGTTTTTTAATAGGGCGAAGAGTATCAGTTCTGGGCTTATGCCCAGTTATCCATGCATGGAGTTACATTTTACTGATGTGACTAAGCAGATTTAAAACCTAGCTATGGAGTAGTGATTAGATGCTGTGGTCACAGGCAAAGCTGCCATTGTCTCCACTGGTAAGCTTTTTCCAAACCACTGATAACTGTCCTGGAATTAGAGCTGAGGTAATTCCTATCCATAGGTAAAACACTTCCGCGTCTGGCTGAGAGCAAAATTTTCCAAAGCAAACCTTGCCAGTTGTAGTTTCTAGTGACAGCTGTTGCCTGGTTTGTCAAAAGACACCTTCAAACATGGAGTTTACTGAAGTGCTCCTGAGTGTTCAGCAAGCCTCCATGTTGCTCTTGGGTTGGGGTCTTTTCTCCCCCCTGCCAATGAATACTTTATATTGCTGGAAGACCTAAGGGGATCTAATCTGGATGAACACCCAAGCAGCACCTTGGATCTTAGAAGTTCCATTGCCAGCAGTGCAGAGGGAAGAAGGAGGCTTGTTAAATGCAGCTTGGTCTTTGCAGCTCCAGTCCTGGCATTCAGGGAACAGGAGGTGGGGAAAGAACAGGGAACACTAATCAAAGGGGCAAAGGATGCAAAAAAAAAATGGTGTCTCTGCCTCCTAGAACCATTGTTTTTCCATCTACTTCTATGGCATGCAGTTTTCCAGGTTTCTGCTGCTTTCTTTTTCTTCCAGTCTTCTGATGTCTGTTTTCCCTGAGCTGTCACTGGCTTAAAGTTAGGGTCAATGCAGTAGTAAGCACAGGGCTTGTGTTCTCACACATACCTCTGCTGAGGTGCTGGTGCTTTTGCTGAAGGTCATCACTGAATCTAGTTACAGCATTTGGAGTTCAAACTCCCTATCCTGCTTCTCCAGTCCTGAGCCCCATGTCTCTTTTAACATTCTCAGGTGCTGTTCACAAGTCTTCCTGTAGTCCATGTGTATGCTCTTAGCACAACAGCAGTACATGACCCAAAGAAGCAACAAGGAAGTGTGTACTCCTGCCCTGTCTACAAAAAGCCTCGGAGAACAGATCTGACCTACATTTTCTCTTTGTATCTGAAAACAGTGAAGAATCCTGATCATTGGACTTTACGGGGGGTTGCACTGCTCTGCAATACAAAATAAAGTCCAAAAGATATCTATAAAGAAAGAACCACCTAGGGAGATTAATCTGGAGCCAGCAGGACTTCTGTTGTTATTGAGAAAGTGGTGGCTACCTTGTCATGGGGGTATGGGAATTAACAAATGATGTATAGAGATTGGGTTAATTACACATAGATCAGATTGCTCCATTACAGCAAAAATGATAAATGTATTTAACCTGGGAATATCTGAGGGAAAACAGTTGCAGGTGTAAAATTTGGCAGCTGCTATAAAGCAACTGAGAATATACTCAACTAGCTTGCTCATAATGAAAACACTATGAAAAAAAGTGCTTACAATAGTGACAACTGCTCTAACATTTATGGTGGCTCTTTTGTAGATGGCATCTTCCTAATACAGGACTTCTTCATAATATGCTATAATTCTTTTTAAATTCAACTTTGTAGCTAAAAACTTACCATCCATAGCATTATTAAAGCTGTAATGACAAGTGAATTAAACGTCTGGTAAAACTTTATGTTTGTCTGCATGTATTCCAATGCACAGATCCTTTGATTTTGCATTTGTAAACTTACTGGGAGGTTTTACAAATGGATGCTACCTTTTCCTTGAATAGTCACTTGTTTATGCTGTCGTGGGTTAAAGACTGCTTAAA